ATTTTTGAATCTTTTCTTAATTAAAATATAAATTTCTACATTAATAATCGATCTTAAACTTTGATTGCAAGAGGCGTAAGTTTATTTCTTAATTTTAATCATAGAATTGTATAAAAAATTATGGATTATACTTAAGTTTTATCCCCTCTTAAATTCACACAAAATCCTATATATTTTATAAATGTTACATTTTCAATTCAAAACCTTTATTAATTTTTAAATATAATCGACAAAAATACTTCCATTACAGACTTTAAGTCATTACACAAAACTTTTCTATTTGTTTAACATTATATAATTTCCTTTCTATTTTATAGACAAGGTACAATCAAAGCCTTCTATAGAGTAAATTTTGAATGAATTAAATATCTATATAATAAAAAATTTGAAAAAAAAAAAGACAGAGTAACAATAACGTGACAAAAATATTTATACATAAAAAGTTATTTGAAGTTTGAACACCCCTGCCTTTTTATTCTTATTCTAAATAGTAAGTTATATTTTAATCTTTCGTGATTTGACTAAAAAAGTATATTTTGTCTCTCTCCTAAATTTTATATTTTAATCATTATTAAATTTGTAAAAAATCAGTATATCATACTAAAAAATAAGAATATAATTAGAAAAAGTCAATTACAGTTTTCCAACATATATAGTATTGATCCGGGTAAGTCCTAGGACCAGTGCCGACTGTCTGGTGTATAACAACATAGTAACCCGCAATCTGTTGTTATGGATGATGCCATGCTCTCTCGGATCATAACTCTATAAAAGACAGCCAACACAAATGAACTGTTAAACAACAGTATGACCCTACAGATGTATCCTCACGAACAACCATGACAGGTGTGTCAAATAACAAATTACTAAAACTCATAAAAAAGGGATTTTTCTCATATATGTATATTTTGAACTTTTTACAGAAATAATATAAAAATAAATAAAAAATTACGTCAAAAAAATCAGACCAAATTAATTTATAGAACTAAGACTCAATTATTATAGCAGTAATTGGGTAGTGGGGAACCGAATTTTGGAAGTTGATTTTTTATTTTTTTAAATTTATTTTAATATTTTTATATAATAAAATAAATTATATTATTAAAATTATATTTATATTTTGTTATGTAAAAATAAATAAAAATAATATTTATTTTACATGTTTATTAAAATTTATTTTATATAATTATGATAATAAATAATATTTTTAGAAAATAATTATTATTATATTTTAAAAACTAATTAAAATATTTAAATAATAAGTATATTATTTTAGATAATAATGTTAATGCTTAAAAGTTTTATACTTCAAGAATAATAATTATATTTTTAAAAATTAAATAAAAATATTAAATATTATTCTGTTTATTTATTTATTTAAATATGTAATTTTGACTTAATATTTTTAAATATTAGTATGATAAAAAATTTATTTTAATTAAATTATTTTTTTTAAATGACATTATTTAATATTATAATTTTTAATACTCTAAACCCTAAAATTTTACTATTATAATTTTTAATAAATTTTATTTGAGAATAAAAAATTATTTTTAAAAAGTAAATATAATAGTAAATTATAAGTTAATTATTTATACTTGAGACAAATATTATAAAATTAATGATTTCATATTATTAAGGTAACATTGATGAAGATAAAGTGCATTAACAAAAATGATAATAAATTTATACCAACATTAATAATTAATTATCTCTGTAATGGTGGTCAGTTCCACAACGAGTGCGATATCTGTAACATGGTGGGTTTCGTCATTGTGGTTGTTGTTCTAGGATTTCAGGATGAACTTGTGGAGGATTTAGATCATCATGAAGATCTAGTTGTTGGAATGCATTTGATAAATTATTAGGTTCATTAGCAAAATCCGGTTAGTAAAGAGATTGCATGTAAGTTTGTGCTGAAGACAGAGTTGTAAAATCAACTCCAACTAAGTTTGTAAAAATATCCTCCGATGTTGTTGCAAATGAATGTCTTGTGTTAATTATATTTGTTTCTGGCGTAATGTTCGGAGAAATTGATACAGTCTTATGATACGATTGTGTGGAAGTCGTACTGATTTCAAATGTGTTGGTAGTCCTTAGTTGTTGGTCGCTTCTCGTTGGATCTTGTAGTAGTGGTGGCACAGATAGAAAATAAATGAAATTGATAATGTACCATTCCATGTATTCTTGTGTGTGACACAATGGGCCTTGCATTGGATAACTCGTTATTGTCAGCTCATGTCTGTTATTCTATATCTCGATCCATTTAGCATGTCTCAATTTTCATCATGTCTTCCTCTCATGTCAATTTTGTGGAGGTCATTCAAATTATTCGGTTGAGAAGGGACTTCTTGGAAGAAGTCATACCATAAGTTAACTAGACAATTGCTTGCAATGCAACTGTATGTTCCGAACTTCCTCTGAAAATTGAGTACATAACCGGCATACAAGGGTAGCTTGCTTGATGAGGGGAATGTGTTCTTAAAGAGGTTTTTTTGAACTTTCAAGTCATGCATTGATGGTTTTGCCTTCTGCAAACCAATTGTTCAAGTGGATGGAACATTTTTGTATGACAAATACAAAGGGACTTTATTAGTAGCAGTTGTGCAAGACGGCCGCAACAACATAATTTCCATTGCATTTGTTGTGGTAAAAGGTAAAACTAGCGATACATGGTTCTTTTTTTAAAAAATCTTAAGGAGGTACGTAACCCCGCAAGAGGGATTGTGCATCATTTCGAATCGTCAAGAAGCCATAAGAAGTGCATACACCAGAAATGGAAGTGGTTAGACAGAAAACAATTCTGTCCATATCTATTGCATTACACACATTGCACAAAACTTCATACGACGATTCAAAAACGCTACACTGAAGAAAGATGTCCTCAATATGGGTAATTTTAATTTTTTACATACTTTATATTATCATTAATATTTTATACAATTGCTTAGCTAGTTATATTAATTTTATTTGTAATCTTATTTCCAACATATGGGATGACTGAACCAAGATTCTTTTACTATTACAACATAGTAAAAGATAATAATCTTGAAATTGCACAATGGTTGGACAACATTCCAAGGGAAAAATGGACACTGGCATCGGACAATGGACGACGCTGGGGACACATGACAATAAACCTAGCAGAGTCAATCAATTCGGTCTTGAAGAAAACTATAAACCTGTTAATTTGCTCCATGGTCATGGCAACATCCACCCGTTGCAGTAAGTTCTTAATTGACAGAGGTAGAAAAGTAGATGCAATGATTAATACTTGACATATGTACTCGAAGGTTACAACTAAAGCAATTCAAGATGCACTATCAAAGGCGAACATTCATAAAGTCATTACCTTTGACAAAACAAGCACTAGATTTTAGTTGAAGAAACGCAACATTCGACAGAAATTCAACCCGTAGGAAGATTTATAGTATAGTTAGATGAAATATGGTGTGATTGTGACAAGTTTCAAAAAGTTCACATCACATGTACTTGCTTCATGCTTATACATACCACAACTTTGACATCTACATATCTCCCTGTATACCTTATAACGAGTTTCTAAAGTATACGAATGTCAGTTTGGAGCACTCAGACATGAAGACTATTGGCCAACTTACACGGGCTCAAATTTGTGTCCAAATCCAGAACTAAAAAGAATTTCAAATGGTCGACCCAAGTGCAGTAGGATAAGGACAGAGATGAACATTAGAGAACAACAAAGTCGGCCAAAACATTATTCTTATTGTCACACTCCTAGTCATAAAAGGAAGACATGTTCAAATATCGCTCAAGCTTTTACTTTCCGCCATTGATTTATGGTGTTGTTATTACTTTAAAATTTTCTTCATGTAATTTTTAATTTTATAAATGTCATTACAACTTATAAATTTTACTATTAGTAATTTATATTAAATATATATATATATATATATCTACATAATATTATTTAATAATATTTATTAATATTAATAACATATTTTTTAAATAAATAATTATATATAAACTTTAATAAAGATTAATATCTCAAATTAAATAAATAAACTTATTATTATTTAATACTTGTATTTATTTTATAAAAATATAAAATTAAATAAATTATTACTGTAATTTTTATCAAATAAAAATTTAAAATTAATTCAATTATTATTGTAATTTTTCTTTTTTTTAAAATTTAATATTAAATAACTAAAAATATAATTTCAGAATATTATATTAATATCATTTTACAAAAATCATAATTATGTTAAATAATATAATAACAAAAATAAAAATATTATTTATTATCATAATTATGTAAAATAAATTTTAATAAACATATAAAATAAATATTATTTTTATTTTTATTTATTTTCACATAAAAAATATAAATATATAAATATTAAAACAAATTTAAAAAAATAAAAAATTAATGTCCAGAATTCAGTTTCCAGAGTTCTGACTACTCATTACTGCTAGAGTAATTAGGAGTAATTGGTAAATTAATTTGGTCTATGTCCTTTCATGTAATTTTTTATTTTTTTTTATATTATTTCTGTTAAAAGTTCGCATATTTTCTAGCTTAATTCATACAACAATTTAGAATAACTCTTTTAACTTGACCCACTACCAAAGTATTTGGGAGACCAAGAAGCATCTTCGACCACTTGAACAATCGTCTCTACCGGGAGTAACCATCCATACCAATGAACAAAGACATTTATCATTAAAGATTAATAAAATAACAAAATAATGCAGGGATTTGAACCCTACCCCACATCACGCAAGCTCATTTCGCTTGCAGTGGCACAGCTGAAGCACTGGGACAGTCCATGATTAATTAATTTCAATTCCCGAAGATCTGACATTTCCCACGCATGAAGAAACAGTTAATGATGACCCTGTACCGTGCCCACCTTCTTTTTCAATCTTCATGGGCTTCCATCTTCGGGCCCAACCCAAATGAGCGACCCGTAATTGCTTACAGCGTCACCTCAACGACGTCGTAAAACCTTGTTGAGAATTAAAAAGAAAGAAGTATCCTGCGACGTGACCATTATCATCATTTGCATCGGAGAAGAGAGAGAGAGTGAGTGAAGGGGGAGAAGAGCACTTTGAATTTCTGTGTTGTTGGATTGACAGCGTACTTGAGAGTTGAGAACGCAAGAAGGGAAATGGGTAAGGATCTGAGCGACGAGCAAGTTTCTTCCATGAAGGAAGCTTTCACTCTCTTTGACACCGACGGTGACGGTCGCATCGCTCCGTCGGAGCTAGGGATCCTCATGCGTTCCCTCGGAGGGAACCCCACCCAAGCCCAACTCAAAGCCATCGTTGCCGAAGAAAACCTCACCGCCCCCTTCGATTTCCCCCGATTTCTCGATCTCATGGCCAAACACATGAAGCCCGAGCCCTTCGATCGTCAGCTTCGCGACGCCTTCAAGGTCCTCGACAAGGACTCCACCGGCTTCGTCTCCGTCTCCGAGCTTCGCCACATCCTCACCAACATCGGCGAGAAGCTCGAGCCTGCCGAGTTCGACGAGTGGATCAGGGAAGTCGATGTTGGGTCCGATGGCAAGATCCGCTACGAAGATTTCATCGCCAGAATGGTCGCTAAGTAATACTACATTCTGCAACTGGAATCGCTTTATTTGTTTTCTTTTGCCACTGTTTCGGTATTGCTTCTGTTTAATTTGTGATGTTTGCTTTTCTTACCGCTTCGTTTCTTTTCAGTGGACCAATCTATTAACCGAGTTATGCTTATTTTTATGTTATGTAGCTAACCGAGGGCGGTTTTAGGAAACGGTGGCTATTCAATTTGCCCTATTTGGTTGGATTGGTTTGTATTATGAGATCTGATTCCGAGGTAGTTTATATATGCTGTAATTGAGACAATGTCATGGTTGGCAAACTTGTGTACTGTATCTAATCCTTTGTTCCTTTTTGTATCATACCTGTTTTCTTAATTTCAAGTCAAGGGGAATCAGCAAGTAGAGTGCGGTAGTGCAATCTTACCAAATAATTAAACCCTACTCCGTGTAAAATTCGTACACTATGTAAATGTCTGCATGAGTGTGGGGTTTCTAATTTCTATCTTGCTTGGATGACGTTTGACAATGATCTGTCAGGCATTTTCCCCACCTTTCTGCATATTTTCTAACTGCATATGATTTTTCTTGTTGAAGGAAGAGAGAAATGCATATAGTTCTTTATAGCAAAGATTATGTTTGGTACAAAAATGAATCTAGAAAATATTTCATTTTAGAAATTGATCGCCTAGATAATTCAATAGTAGTTGACTGTTGATCGGACAAAATGAGCTGGTGTTCACCATATGCAGATTGGTTTGACGTAAACAGTGGTTTATAGCATTTGGATGAGAGGATTAGATGGATAGATGTTAGTTGAATAAACATGTGATCTTTGTCAGTGTTTTTGTCTTGTCTATGCGGCATTATGGGGAACTGTGTCTTAACAACTCAATTTAAGAAAATGATCTAGTTCTAAAGTGGCATGCACAAGCTCTTCTGTTTAAAAATTTCATTTTGGAGTGCAGAAGCTATTCTATCCTTGAGCAAGGTTTAAGGAAATGATCTACGAATGGTTGGTAGAATGATAAGAAATTATTCTCATATTAATAATGTTTATTGTGATCTCTTTAACCAAGTGCTAGAGTGAAAGATTGGCCAGATCTGGATCTTAAGAATAATTATTATAACTGAGCTTTCCAGCAATAAATATGACATTTGTAGTGTATTTTAGTGAGGGTTGATATGTTCTGTCAGACATTATGGTCAGTTAGAATGGATTTGTTAAAATAGTGTTTGCATGTGAAATTGTTGATTCGTGATCTCATCAATGCCAGTTGTTGTTAGGGAATAGAATATTGGGTGATGCAAAAGAGAATCCATTCCTAGAAACCTCGCTGACCAAATTTAGAACATCTACCGAATATGGGAGTTGTGTTTAATGCAGTAATATTGGACTCGTGTTCTTGCACCATTATTTACTTGGTATGATACTCTAAGTTGATGTCATCTTTGTTAATTATGGATATTTAAATTATCTATGTTTTGTGGCGATAATTTTGTAAATACCTCTGAAACATTGAACTTCAAGATAATAATAGTTTTGAACCAATGTCCACGTTAAGATAAACGTCAAAATTGTACTTTTGAAAATGCAAGAATGGAAAATATTGAATGTCAAAAATTGAACCTTCAACATATACATTTGTTGATGACTCTAGCACAGGAATGAAAATGAACTGTGACTACTTGATTGAGTTCTCTTCTCGCATGCATGTGTCTGTTTGTGTGCCTATGTTTTTATATAAATTTCTAATTAGGTGCTTTATCCAGCATCGTGGCATTACATTTCTGGTATTGCTGTGTCATGTTTTGTGAGGTGTTTCTTGTCTATCTGCACCCTAGACACTTCCCATCAAGAATGTATACTTCTTTTGTTCAAACTGGCTGTAACAGAGGACTCTATGTTGTTATGTTGTTTTCAATTCAATTTGTTAGTATCCCAATATGATCTTCTGGGATTCCTGTTGGAACTCTTGAACCTTTTAAACTAGCATATAATTGTTTTTTAAAAATAGGAATTTTTAGGTTGTTTCTTTTTCTTTTTTTGAGAACCTAGGTCTGAACTTAATTATTCGGATTTTCTTATACGTCAAACTTTGCTAGAAAATGACTTTGGTAAGGTTATCTCTGCCTAAATCTGTCATTTACAGGCACGTCTTTCTCTAGGTTTTGATGATATGTCTCGTTTGTATATATGGCGTGTTTGGATTTACACCTTAATCAATTGCATTAAAAAAGAATTCGTTACCAAAGAGCTTATGTCAATAGTGATTAGTCAGGTCATGTTTAGTGGTCTCCTTGGTTGACATTGTTAATAGAAGTAACGCACATCCTAATGCAAAACACAATTTACGATGGATTTCATTGAACAGAGTTGTGCTCTCATTATAAACAGCCAATAGGAATTCAGCTAAAATTTCTAATGAAGTTGGTCTTAGCTTTAAATATTTGCGATCTTGCTTTCCATTATCAATTAAAGCGTCATAGAATTAGAACTGTTTGGTTTAATAGGTGCAAAATTAAAATATGCATAAAATTAAAAAATATATTTTCCTTTAAGTTAAGATTATTAAATGAAACCTAATTTGCATTTGCCAAAAATTTCAATTTTTCCTTCATTTTTAATCTACGGAATACATGCTTAGGTGAGAGACTGGAATCTCATTTGCTTAGCCATCTTTACCGCACTATAACTAATAGTGTTAACATATAAATATAGTTACCTTTTTCTTTTATTTATAAGTAATAAATAAAGTGTTGTTTTATATAAAATGACGTTATATTTATTTAGCAGTTGATTATGTGTTTATATTATAAACCAATACTAGTGTACAAATGTTAGTTTTTCGAGCAATTTTTTTCAACCTTTGATTTTGATAAATGCTATGTTTCTTAACGTTTCCGGCGCTATATGTGATAGTTATAGTGTTTTTTTTCCTTTTTCTTTTTTAAAGAAAGGCTTAAAGGGAAGGATTACAAAATCAAAGTTTAGAGAAAGGAATGTACGTAACATTTGCAACAAGGAAAAGTAATCGAGGAATAGGAGCTAAAGGTTCTATAACATTAGTAGGAGTGTATAACTTCAATAGAGAAGGTAAAAGTTCTATAACATTAGTAGGAGAAGACAACTTAAATTAGTTAGAGGATTTGCATATTGGTTAACTTCCTTGTAAATATATTTAAAAATGACACACCAATCACCTTGAAGAATTCAAATTTGGGATAGGAAAAGACAATACAGAAGTGATTTGCAATCACCTTGAAGAAGAATTCAAATTTGGAATAGTAAAAGACAATTCAGAAGCGATTTGCTGAAACATTTATTCAAAATAGCTTTAAGCTGAATTTTCAGATTATGTTGGTCCAACTCTTTGGCCATGGAAAAGCCATCTATAACATCCTAGAGCTCAACTTTATAAGTTGATGTTTGCCCCAAATAATGATAGTAACTTTTGAGCCCATGTTGATCCCTTACAAGACCACCCATTGCAGGAGGACTGTAATTTCCTTTGCAAGCTCCATCAAAAGTAAGGGTAAACCACCTATTAGATGTTGGTTGCCAAGTTATGTTGGTGCAGGTTGGTTCTTTTAGGAGAAATAGAAGATTCATGTATCAAAAAGGCAAAGGAAATATGCCTAAGTCTAGTGAAAATGGTAGCATTTGAATTGAAGGAACCCTTAAATTAACATTATGCAAACAAATATTCCTTTAATACTAGAGTAAATGGATAGTGATAATCTAGATAAGGTTCTAGGGATAAGAAGTTATATGTTAATCTTTTTTGCTCATGTTAAACTAGAACTAACTCCAAGAATCAAGAAGAAAGAAGAAGCTTTATGAGCCAAAGAAATTAATCGAGTCCATATCATAGAAATAATTAGACAATTACAAAGCACATGAAGAGTGCTTTTAGCTTGTTGAGGACAATGTTGGCGATACTTATAAGTAATTTTTCACTTGCTTAATCTCAGCTTAGTTAGAATATGATCATGAGCCATCTATCAAAGAAAAGTCTTAGTCTTGACTCATTCGGAGGCTTTCAGCTTCCAAATTAAAGACCAGTTGACAACATAAACTAGTTTAGTGAATTCATTAAGTAATTGGTATGTACCGCTAACAGTATAATCTACTGACTGACTAGGTCAACCTATATAATCATCTCTTTTAATGGCAATAAGAGGTAGAATGACTTTAATTTGTTTGATAATGAAAAGAAAGCAAATATTAGAAATCATATCCCTATTTCAAGTCCCAAAGGGAGTTAAATAAGAACTAACCATGATGTCATAGAGATCAGATGAAATATTAGAGACCAAGTCACTAATCCTTACATTAGGATCGACCCACTTGCATGCCAAAAGCTAATAGTACAACTATTTTCAATGCTCTAACACACTAGATTTTTTATGCTATGCTACACTTCAACCAAGCTCTTCCAGAGCTTGGAGTTAGAGGGCTTGGAGGAGAAATCTTGTTGATGATGGTCATATTTGCCATATTTAGCAAGCAACACATTGTTCCAGAGAAAAGTATGACTTAGCCTAATCTGTCAGGCCAACTTCATGATGCAAGCCTTATTCATCTCAATTAGATTTCAAACTATTATACCACTATGCTCCTTATGCTTAATCAAAGTTTCCCAAGTAATTAAATGACACGTCTTCTTCTAGAGATTTTAGAGACAACCCTTAGGAAACAAAATTGTCATAATTGGGTAGATAGGAATGGAATCTAAAACTCACTTGGATAAAGTCACTCTCCGAGCAAAAGAGGGTTGCATTGCCTGTCAACCTACTAAGTTGGCGTAAGCCTTGTCAATCGAGTATTAAAAATTTGTCTTTTTAAGGATTTGTTCATAATAGGGAATTCCAAATATTTTCTAAAACTAGATTAAGGTTGGAAACTAGTTTCTCAAGTAAGTTTCTACATAAAAAGGTAGGAATGTGAACACTCAATTTCATCTAAGCCTTACTTTTATCAATTTCATCTAAGAAACAATTTTTTCCTTTTTTAACCTTCTTACTTCAACCTGATTCATCAAGTTCCTCCTCTGTTAAAGAGGTGCTCGTGCAATCAAGTCATCTCACATGTCTTCCTTGCATGTAACGTGTCACTCTTTTACCTTGCTTTGGAGTATGATTTGATATACTCAACAAAGTTGTTAAGATAAAATTTTGTAATATAAATTCTATTATGATAGTTATAGTGTTATTTTATATGAAATAGTGATAGAAATAATAAATAATTATATTGTATGAAATTTATATATTAAGAGACAAAAAATACTTTAGAATAAAAAATATTAATTAAAAAATAAAATTTCTATAGACTCTTTCATATAAGCTTTTCTTTGTAATTTAAATATTACATATGTATTAAAAAATTGTTTGAAGGTATATTATGTAACAAATTAATATGTTAAGAGTTATTAAGTAAATTTAGAATAAAGAAATGTTGATTTATAGAAAACATTTGTTAAAGAATTACAAGAAAAATGGTTGTAAATAAAAATAAATAAGAAATAAAGATGATGAAAAAAGTGTAAGAAGATTATAAAAAATTAATAATACATAATGTTAAATTATAATAATTTTTTAAAAAAAAGTGGTACATTGGTTGTAAGAAAAAAATGTTGATATTATTTGATAAAATGTTATTTATAAATTATGACTATGAATTTGTGTAAGTATTATATAATATGGTTAACTGCTGTTTTTTTCATTCGATAAAAAAATAATAAAGAAATTATGATAAACAATTATCAATCAAATAACTTTCTGCATATATTTAAAAATATTTATGTTCTTATTTGAATTAGAAAAAAAATTAAAAGACCAAATTATTATAACGCAATGTGTAACATCTTATGTTTAATTTCAATAAATCATAATTTCACAAATTCATAATAAAATAAATTTTATTTCAAATAAAGTTCTCAACCCTTGGTTTCATCAAATATTTTTAAAATAAGGAAAGGAGTTACAATTTCTATCAAGTCACTACTATAGGACCCATTCAAATACATTAGTTTCAAAATAAACTCCTAGTCCTATAGCAGTTCTATCCACCCCTTTCACTGAGTCCGGTGCTGATCGTCTTGATTACTTGAAAAATGAATATAAGGGTGAGTACTCTACGCTACCAAAACACAATCAAACATAGAGTCTCACCTCCAGCACATTACACAATCATAATCACAGGCAACATTTCACATTCATAATTACAAAACACAAATCTATGCATACGCACACCAGCCACACTCACTGTAGCACTGTGATCACAAATTTACACCATGAATGGTCGCTGGTTACTCCTGCCTCACGGATATAACATGAGCAGTCACGGGTCGCTCAGTAAAGGTAATGGTCAGAGGTCTAGTCAGGAAGAGAATGTGTGGTCCATGGTGCACCCGTTCCACAGTTGGTGTCACCACCATTCCCTCTTCCCCAAGGTATTTCTACCGTCCTCGTCTCTCACGCCCCAGTGTATCGCTGAACCATTCACAGCACATTACAACGGTGTTAACACGCCCATTCACATATATTCCATTCACACATGTAATAATCATGCTTACACATGGCACACAACCCACATTGCATTCAAATACACGGCACTAGGCCCACATTCATTTTCACAGCACACACAACACATAGCCTATAGTTCATTCAAGACACACAACCCCTATCCTATTTCCATTCATATTACACGGCCTTCGGGCCCACATTTTCACAATATTCATTCAGATATACACACATGTATAAACGACACAAATTCTCATAACATATTTCAGCAATTTCCTACCCTCTACTTAGCCACATCATAATATCACACGTAAAGGAGTAGGGTAGAGTCCCCCTTACCTCGGATCAACTTCCCACACGCTAAATCCACCAAGATGCGCTCCTCTCACGAATTTCGTCCTAAACACATGAAGAAACTCCATGAGAACCCAAGGAAACCACGAAAACAGAGAAAGGGGATGAAAAACTGAAATCCTAACCATTTAAAACTCACCTCCAAGCGTTCCCCACACAAATCCAAGCTTCAATCTCGCTCCCAAACGGCTTTGGAGGCAATTAATCGGTGAAATAAGGCTTTGGGAATGAGAGGATCAAAGGAATTTCGAAGGAAGAGGGAGAAATAACTCTCCTCGAACCCTAACCTCCTTTAAATCCTTTTCTAGTCGCGACATTCTTACTACAGCGAGATATTCTCCCCTTACTGCAGCGACACGCCTTCTCACTACAGCGAAAAAACTAGAGAAAACTGCACTTTAGTTTCTGCAGAATCTCGCTACAGCGAGAAGGTGACAGTTTTAGTCCTTTTTTCAGGGTCCTCTCGCTACAGCGAGAACAGCCCAGTGTTACGCCCTGCACTTAGCCTATATTTAGCCTATCCAGTCATACATACACACATCCATGTACTTAATACACATAAACATCATTTTCAAATAAATCAACACACACACACACACATATATATATATATATAAGAATAATAATAATTAATATTACTAAAATTTAGGGCGTTACACAATGTATTCCGTAAATAATAATAAAATATTTAGTTTGATTGTTGATTAAATGTTGAATTTAATTGAAATATATTGTTAGTGTAAATTTTTTTTATAATGTTATTCATTTATAGAATATCATATTATTAAAAATTATTAACTTTTATAATAATTACTTTAAGGGTTTGTTTATGAGTTTATAGGAGAACCATATATTCAAAATTCCAAATTTAATACCAGAAAAAATAAAAATAAAAATGTATATTAAATAAAATAATAAAATCTGAAAAATATGATTACGATATTAATAATTAATACCAATATAGCAGCAATATTATAATATCATGTATTATAGATGTCCAAAGAGGTTAAGAAAGTCGAAAAAATGTTTTTAAGTAGCCCCAAAAGTACTCCAGAGTTTAGTATTTAAAAACGCTTAACATGAATAATAATTATTATTATACTGAAAAAATAAAGATATATGTCCAGTGATGGCCACTAGGGTTTTGTTTGTGAAGTGAATTCGATAATAAGATTGAGATCTTCTTCATCTTGTGCGGTGGAGTGACAGGAGAAAGGCGAAAGCCATGGGTCGTATGCACAGTCGCGGGTTGGTTGAACTTCCAATGTCACTAATTCACTCTTTGTTTTGGCTGCGCTTAACAATGTGTTTGGTTTGGTCGCAGAAAGGGTGTTTCTTCCTCTGCTTTACCATACAAGAGGACTCCCCCTACCTGGCTCAAGATCTCTTCCCAAGACGTAATCATAATAACTATTCATCCCTTTTTGTTTAATTTATGTCTTATGCATTAATTTTTTTATTATTTATATAATTTTGATTTGATTTAGGTGGAAGAGAATATCTGCAAGTTCGCGAAGAAGGGTTTGACGCCGTCTCAGATTGGTGTGATTCTCCGAGACTCTCACGGCATTGCTCAGGTGAAGAGCGTCACTGGCAACAAAATTCTCCGCATTCTCAAAGCTCACGGTTTCTCTCTTCACTTTTATTCATTCGTTGCTCTTTGTTATCATTCATTATTGAAAACTGAAGAATTGATTTGGTTTGTTACAGGACTGGCCCCTGAGATTCCAGAGGATCTTTACCATATGATAAAGAAAGCGGTTTCAATACGGAAGCATCTGGAGAGGAACAGAAAGGATAAGGATTCAAAGTTCAGGCTCATCCTCGTCGAGAGCAGAATCCACCGTCTTGCTCGTTATTACAAGAAAACTAAGAAGCTCCCCCCTGTGTGGAAATAGTATGATACCAGTTATACCCTTTATTACTAACATACCCATTTTGCTATATATATTATACCATGCTGCATTTCTATTGCGATTACTTTACTTTTCGAGTAACCATTATTTGAATTTTAATTTGATTTTGAGCTCAGACGCTGTCGTCTTCTGCACGGTTATACTTTGTTTTTGAAAGTCTATTCAGTGGTGTGCTTGGTTGAGTAGGTGAAAATGGATGACAAATTAAAATGATTTTCAATCAAAAGTGAAAAACAAGTCTTTTTGTATTTCCCAAATTCTTATGTCAACATTGTAGTTAATAAGTGTAGAGTGATTTTAATTTAAAATTTTTACCTTGCCTCTTTCCAACTTATTTTAAGTACTTAGCCGAATGCAGACCTATTATCTCGGTTACTCTCTTATTATTGCGGTAACTCCTTTATATGTTGTCTTTGTAGAGGTTTTTTTTACCATCATTTGTAGTTTCTTCCCCCCGTCATACCCCTGCTTCTGACCCATAAACATGGATGAAATGGAAGGAAGGCCGAAAACCTTAAGTTATGCTCATATTACCGTAAAGCATTTTCATGTTAGTGCAGTTCACTTCTTTGAAAGGTGATGATTATTTTAACATGGAAGTATGTTAACGAACATGCATAATAATGTATGCTAATAGGCTATTGTTGATTATATTCGGTTGTGTTGGCTTTCTTATGCACTTTTGTTGGATTGCACACTTTTCTGGCATGTCATCTAAAGCCTCTGCACCATCTGGAAGTTAATTTCTTTGCCTTCGGTGTGCAATTCCATTGTGTTCATACTGCTACTGATGAATTTTAACATTTGCAGTGAATCAACAACTGCCAGCACCTTGGTTGCTTAGGGAATGTTTCAGCCCCTGCTGCGTTGCCGTGGCTAGGTTGCTAGACTAGCAATCTGTGGTGCCATTTCTAGATTAATCTGGAAGCTAGGTGGGCTACTCGGTGTCTTATTTTTTGTTGAGAATCTCTGATTAGACAGAACATTAGTTTACGCTATTTTGACTGCAGTTTATGGTTTTTATTCTAAAATTTATTAAACTTGAAAAGTTATTTACAGGATCTCGTATTTCTGTATTCTTAAGTGTTTTCATATATTAATTGCATTTACGAATGAAACATAACATTTAATTAAGAGCTTCTTTAATCACTTCGGACACATTAGTTTGCACAAGAAGACATAGTCACAAACCTATGGTGCTGCAAGGGGCGCTCCTTCTATCGGCAACATTGCCCGTTGAGTTACTTGTACACAGTTAGTCTTTGGATGATACTTCTGTCTTGAGCTAGTTCCGGTTAGGAGTTGCTCACTGTGCTTTCAGTGGTCTCACAGAACAGAGTATGACGCTTGAACTAAAATTCGCAGAACTGATACCTCTATAGAAAAATAATTTGAAGACCTCTTTTTATTCCTACAAAATACATTTTTTCTTAATTATTATATGAAGAAAATATTAAATTATTATATATTTTTAAGATAATAAATATATATTTTAATAGTTATTTTATAAAATAATAGAAAAGTATTTAAAGAATATAGTCAACATAAAGAAAAAATTCGAAATGTATTATTTGTTATAGGTTTTTAATACACATTAATTGTTATTAAAGAAATTTCACGAGTTACTAAAAAAATGGGTACATGACATGATTTTGAGTCCTAGATAAATTTCACTGTATCAGGGTTTTGAAAAGCCTAGATGAGTGTCATACATGAACTGAGACAACATATTTAGTATTCTGGTTCCCCATCAAATCCCATTTCATATTATCCTATTCTGTATTACTCATTAGTCCAGAAGTTGCTGCGACCAAAACCAACAGAACGGATGCACGATGCAAAGAGGGATCTACTAATTCCAAACTGCATCCCGAACAAGTTGCACAAACGTCACCACTGGCTTCAGTGCAGAGAGTCCGGGGCAACTAGCACATGCAGGCAAGTACTCTCAACTAACACGTACACGCGTACCAAAATATATCCATAATTCCACATCAATGAAGATTCACAAGGACAGCTGTGATCTCTATGAGGAAAGAAGGCATCTTATACTCTTACGATAACTGCACCTTATGCTGGCAAACAGGTAATTGAGCATTCGTCAACGTATGACACTACGCTTGTAAAGCGCCGCGTCGAAATGCAAATGGTTTCAAACTCGGAAAGAAAGGACAAGGTGCACAACACAAACACCAATATGATCTCTTAATAAAAAAAAAAAACTGTACAATGGCTAACGTAAAAAGCATACATTCCAGGATTAAAGATTCAAAGTCAAAGAGAAGTTTCAATTAGAGAGAGAGAGAGAGAGAGACTATGATGGTTCTAGTCCTTCTTCCCTAATACAATTGTATAGGCTAAAGAGAGGGATTATTAGAAATTGTTATGCAGCAGAGATATGAATTACGAAGCACTCTTGTTCTTAGAGACAGAGTAGAAATCAAGGTACCATCGAACAAACTTCCTGAGCCCTGCTTCCAAATCAGTAGTAGGCATGTATGCGAGCTCCCTGTGCGCTCTGCTAATATTGGCATGAGTAAACTTAACATCTCCATTCCTAGGCATGGCCATCACTTTCCTTTTAGCCTTCACCTTCAGAAGCTTCTCCAATATGTTGACAAGCTCAGTCACAGGCACCGGCGAAGTATTACCCAGATTATAAATTCTATACTGCGCAGCACCCTTCTTCTTCCCTCCATTTCCAGACCCAGTACTCTTCCTAGCCGTATCCAAAGCCCCCAAACACCCCTTCACAACATCATCAATGTACGTAAAATCCCTCGCCACGCTTCCACCATCAGGCCCTTCAAAGATCGTTATTTGCTTCCCCTTCAGAATATCCTTCGTGAAGAAGAAATACGCCATATCAGGGCGACCCCACGGACCATAAACAGTGAAAAAACGCAAACCCGTCATCGAAAGACCATATATATGATTATAGGCGTGAGCGATTTCTTCACCAGCTTTCTTAGTCGCAGCATAAAGACTCGCAGGTTGATCCGTTCTGTCCTTTTCAGAAAATGGCACTTTCGAGTTCAACCCGTAAACGGAGCTCGACGACGCGTACACAATCGCGGGTTGCGGTTTCGCCGATTTGCAAACCTGAAGAAGGTTCACGAACCCCGCGATGTTGCTGTGCACATACGAACCGGGGTTCTGCATGGCGTAGCGAACACCGGCTTGTGCGGCGAGGTGCATCACGTGAGTGAAGGGTACCACATCGAAGAGCTTGTGGAGGAGTGAGGAATCGTTGATGTCTCCCTCCACCACGAACACCCCCGCACGCGCCAGAAGCTTCTGCCGAGCGCGTTTGAGGTTCACGTCGTAGTAGCGGTTGAAGTTGTCGAGGCCGAGAACGCCGTCGCCGCGCCGCTTCAGCGAAAGGGACACGTGGCAGCCTACGAAGCCCGCGGCACCGGTGACGAGGACGGTGAAGCCGGAGGCGGAGTTCTTACGCGCGGATTTGCTGACGCGCTTTTCCCAGTCGGGTCCGCCCCAGGAATCGCGGCGAGGGACGGCGGCGGTGGGTGGAGCGGTGGGAGGGGAGAGGATGAAGAAGAAGAGAATGAAGGCAAGGAATATCGAGGACCATAGTGTTAGTTTTGATAATCGAAGGCGATGAATGTAGTAGGGTTGGTGTTGATACTTCTCTGGCTTCAACTTCCCTGGTGTTGATGGTAGTATTCCTATGTTCTCCATCTCTGTGAATTGTGATTGTGATCGTTTCTTTCACACTGTCACATTGAATTTGTAATCCACTGAAACCCTAATTTCACAACGCACTCTGTATATGTTTGGGGTTGCGGAGATAAGGAAGATGGTTTCGTTGACTTTTTACTTTTGTTGACTCTTCCTCCTTTGCATTGTGCATCGATGGTGCCTCGAAATTCGTTGCTCTTATGACTCCTCTTTTAATTTTACTTATTCTGAATGGTTTAATTTCTATGGCCGAGTGGATTTATTGTCTGATAAATCTTTCTCTTTCCGCTTACGGCTTCCGCCACACTGGACGACCATTTCTCGTGGATTCTTTCTTGTTTTATGGAAAGGAGAAAAAAGGGATTTAAAAAATAAAAGATGCCCTTTATGGATAATATTAATATATTTCATAAGCTCACGCACCCAAATTCAAAATTTTTCGCCTGCAAGCAATTACCGAATACCAAGTGCAAGAGAAAAGTGTTACTCGTAAACTGTGGCCAAGTGCAAGTGTCATAATCAGTGTACTACCACGAGTGTTACAATATGTATGACTTTAAACGATGATGTATTTAGCATACTTTTATTATATACATTATTTATGTAAAACTTTAACTTGGATTAAAAACAACACTAAGGATACTTACTGCGTCTACGTTTTGCCCATTAGACTTTACCTTGTCAAAGCAATCGAAATCAGCGCCTCGTAAACAATGGCAATGTAGTTAGACTTTATCCCTCGTTACTTCCGCTTTGGAGTTGGAACTGAGGAAGGTTAGATTAGAGGTAAGTACAATTCGCCTTCATGACAAGCTAACCCCCAGGCCGGAGCACAAAAAATGGATCGATACCTCTTTGATTGTATCCCTACTTAAAAAGGAACTCTTCTATTAAACGGGTCAAATTTAAAAACCGTGGCGCAATTTTTTCATTCCTTTATAATAGAATTGACTTTGATTTTACCTATTACTACCATTTAGTTCCAAAACATCAATATTTCAGTGTTTATATAACAAATAAAACGTATATTTTAAAAACAAGCAAGGACATAAATAAATAATCCAGAGACTTAAAAAATGATCGCCTCATACTTGTTAGTAAAGATTTGTGCGCGTACAAGTTACGGTATCCGGATACCGTAGAATGAAGATAGAAGGAAAACCAACAAAAAGCCAGCTCAGAAATAAACGGCCTTGGTAATTATATTATACAAAGAAAGTAACGGTGTGCATCGTTAATCAATTTAATCATTAACTGCATATTTCTATATAGAAAATTTAACTACAATCTAAATGTACAAAATTATATAACACGATTTGATTAAATCTGTCCTTACCTCACAATGCTAAGGACTCCCTCTGCATTGAAGGGGCAAATCGTCCAACCACGAATCATCCATAAGTGGGGGCGAAGATTCTATTTCAGAGGGCCATTCACAACTACAATCTATTTCGTCATAGATAATGGGCCCAGATTTTGCTTTCCTACGTTGGGAAATGGTTTGTAACCAAAGATTGCTATGCACAAAAATCAAATCGCTGAATTTTTCCACCTCCACTTTGTTACGTTTCTTGTTATGTATACTCCTGAAAGTGCTCCAATTCCACCTGTACCAAAGGGAACTACAAGGTTGACTAAGTATCCGCACTGCTGCTTTCTGTAGTGTGGGGATTTCATAACCATAACTCGCCCACCAGTCGCCTACAAGTTCACAAAATTAAATAAGTAAAAACATTTCCCCAGAACAGAAACAAAAGGTGCATGTTCAATTCAGAAAAAAGACAATCAACTGGACTCTAGAAGAACACAAGTTTGTGAAACCTCTAAAGCTAATTCACCATGCCCATTATTTGTGCTACATGTGTTTTCATAATACCCTTGATACTTAAAATTCCTCTAGAGATAATATAATACAATACAAGGGCTGCAGCCAACCATTTTCTTACTTATCAGAAAAATGCAAGAGTCTAGAGCTTTTGACTGAATTATTTTGGCATACACAGAACAATTGATATGGTGCAACAAGACGCGAGCATCAAGGAGAAGAAGTACAACACCCTCCAACAATTACCCATTTTACAACAGAATGCAAGTTATTTAATTGTTGAAGCAGAGACATACCGGGGGCGTTGAGTGTTCTTCCCAAGACAGCAAAGTCAGTCCCAAGTGCACCTTGGGCGTTGATGTAAATAGGAAGTTCTTTGGTGATTTCCATTTTGTCTTTATCTGTAGTTGCCATCCTGAGCATGGCTTCTTGAAACCCATTTCTCAGCCTCAAATCTTTCTTGAAGTTTGGATTGTAAGAAATTGAAGGATTAAGAAATGCAGCTGCAGCATGTAATGATGAATGAAGTTGAATATTCCATCTCCGATCAATTATATCCCAGATTGGAATGTATTTCTCTTCAATTCCCTTATAATAGGCCTTGATCACAACCTTTGCCCTCTCTATTCCTTCATATATGTAACCCATAGCTGGCATGTCACTATCAACCATCCGTAGGAATTTAACAAGTGGCTCAGAAACACTCACAGCTTCATGCGCATACTTCCAAAATCTATCCGAATATAACAATGACTTAACGGCATGTGCATCTGGACGTCGGCTATATATGGAAGACAACCACTCTGAATGAGAAAACATATTCTTTAAACTATCTTCATGCATCACCACAGATCTCAAGGAAAGGAAGTTAGTGACAAATCTAGTAATTTTTGGCCTGATTAATTCCTTCCCACCAGTGAACTTTCTCACTATGTTCAGAATCCAAGCATGACTATAAATGTACTGTGTGATTGTCTTTGCCTCTTCTAAAACTGTGCTTACCCAATCTTGTCTACCAATATCCTCTAACATCTTATCAATACAATAAGCAACACAAGGAGACCAAAACAAAAAACTATACCGCCCTGTGAGAAGCCTTCCAGCACAAACATAACTAGCACTGGTATCTGTTATAACCTGAACAACATTTTCTACACCAACTTCCAACACAACAGACTCCAGAAGCTCAAACAAGTAAGTACTGTCATCTTCATGACCTGAAACATCAACTGACTTCAAGAACCATGTTCCTTTTGGGCATGCAACAGAAAACACAGCAAGTGATCCTGCCCTACCATCAGACCAGTTATCACACAAGATTGTGCATCCTGTTTCTTTCCACTCATCTCTGTATTTTTTGTAATCATTATGAATATCAGTTTTCACTTTTTCCAAGAGAGTAGAGCGTAATTTCTCATAACTTGGTGCTTTATAGCCTACCCCACACTGAGCTACAGCATTCACCATCTCTTGATAATACACAGATTTAGCAGCGCTAAAAGGAATGGAATTGTGGAAGAAAAATATGGCAAGTTTTCTATCAGCATCATCATGCTTTTGCTTTTGGGCATCATCAACTAATGGCTGGGCACTTGGTGAAGGATGCGGAAATAATAAAGATGGACAAGCACTACCATTCTGCCCACTATATCCATGGTTATGATGGAAGCCACCACTAGCTGAAGAGCTATTTTGTTGACCATTTGCAGCAGCTTGATCTGCCTTCTGTTTCTTGGGAGTTTTGGGTTTCTTGGGAGTACTTAATATACTTTGAATATGTTCCCGTACATCAGTTGGAACTTCAGTGCAGGGTACAATATCTTTGTTTTTAATTTGAGCCAAGTGAAATTTCATCCTGTATACCCCTCCACTGAATTCCCGTTGACAATAATTACATCTGACCTTTTGTCTAGTTGCATCAACTAGGACACAATGTTCCCAACAAGCATCTCTTCCACGAACCATTATCTTAAAATGCACATTGACTCGGTAAGATTCTTATAAAAGTTTGACATGATAAAAAAGTGCAAAATATGGAAGTGGAAAATAACTAAATGATCACTGAAGATGAACCACCACTCGGGGCAACAGGAAAATGGTTATAATCAAGAAAATTGAACAACATTAAATTTAACATATAAAACAAGATTAATATATGATCTAACATAGACAAAGAGTCTTTGAACACATCACAAAAACAGAACCTTATGGTCAACCATGTAATCTTTACCTTTCCCTACAGTAACCAACAATATCTTTCAGCACTGGTACATAATCAGAGTCATTTACTCTGAACCAAAATTACAATAGTCAAACCAAACAAGCAAGCTTCGGTCTGCTTTCTCATTCAGCAAAGAATAATGAAGAATAGAGCAAGGGAGCAACAGAGAAGGAAGAATCATTTTCAAAAAGCAGATAGTAATAAGTTTGAAAGACATCCAATGGTGTTTCACACAACCAACTGCATGCCAATTTTAAAGATTGACACAAACTAGCAGATCAACTCATCTTGAGCAGCAAGAATGTCATGTTAATTGTGTTCTTGCTTAGGAAATAAAAGAAAAGTGCTTGAAGTAAGTGGCCCCCATTGAATAGTTACAAGATTCCAATTTGCTCTATCAACCAAACCTGTGATAATTTTTATTCTTGTACTCCATTCCCATTTGACTGTTCCAAAATAGTCATTCTGTACTTTTCAGAAGTAATTATGAGACATCGTTGCTATCTTGAGAGCTAAAAGATAACAAAGTTATCACATAATCGAGAGAGACTGAAAGACGGTTGGAGTAAATGAGCACCTCAACAACACAAAATACTGTGCATTATAGCAGTCAAATGCGAAAGATTACTGGCCTAAATAAAAGTTCAAATTATATATGATCCCGGATCACATAAACTTAGCAAACTACAAATGAGTTTTAAGTTTTATAATAACAATAATAACTATAAGAGAAAATAAATTTGCATCAGCTTGTAAAGATTCAGCAGCAATTAGGGTTTCCATGCTAATCTTTGAGTTGCATAATAACTTGAAGGATTAAATTAAATCAACAACTTCATCTCCAAGTTACCACTCATGACTGACCAATAGAAGGGACTTCATTTCCTTAATAAAAGCACAATATCTTGGTCTAAATAGAAAATAAAAATTCATATTCAAAATTGAAAAAAAAATGGAAATAAGACAGAAAATTATGCAATAGAAAGAAAAAAAAAGGACAAGGGATATAAGAGGAGGAATTGATGAAGGAGAGGTACCAGGAGGATCTCAAAACGCAAAAGCAGTGGGAGCTGAGAGGTAAATTTGGAGTTGGTGAGTTAATTAAAGGTCATTGAGATAGATACTGGCAAACATGTGATTGGGATAAATGACCCGGATGAACGTCATTTACAGGATTTCCCGAATCGTTCGTCGGAATTTGCTTTGGGGGGCTTCGAAGACTAGAAGAGGGCAGTGAGAGAAAGGTGATGGGGATAGACATTGACCCAATAAGTGTGAATTTTATGAGATGAGTTAAAAACGGAAAAAGCGAGACATATCAAGTGCGACACAGGACAAGAACGTGAAGCATGTTGTCTCCTTTGTTGCTCCCTCATCTGTTCTCAATTCCGACTTCAGAAGTGGTTAACTGAGCACAATGTCAGAGCTGATCTTTTTTTTGTCAGAGCTGTTAGTTTACCAAAAGTTTTATTGGATCACTTCCCACATTTCATTTCCCATCAGCCCAATATGCAATCCTCCCTCCCACTCAGCCCAAAGCCATCCCATTTATTGCTTTTTCTTCACGTGTCCATAATATTTGAAATTATAAGATAGTTACATATAAAACTAGTTTTTGTAAAATTTATTAACTATAGATTAAAATAAAAATATCTATAATAGTTCAAAACAATAAAAGTTGAAAATATCATATCGTCACTTTACAAATTAAATTAAAACATTAAATCTCTTTTTAGCAAACATACGATATTATCCGTGATTCTGATCACTAGACGTGCTAATTTTTTAATTGGTCCATTGTAGTTTACATTGATTAAACTCATGTTTAGATTATTCATTGTGTATATATATATAAATTGAAACGATTTAGACCTGTTTTCTCAAAACTTGATCATTGAAACATTCATATTTTCCCTTTCTATTAATACGATTTCTCTCTTCTTCGGAAGACAACGAATCTGTCTTCTTTTTTTTTTTTTACATATTTGTTGATTAATGGCGAGATGATGTGTTAGAAATGATCAGGGTATATAATATTTTTCTTATATTTTTATTTATAATTAATGGAAATTTTATAAAAAAATTATTATTTTAATATTTTTTATAAAAATTATATGAATATTTAACATAATAATAATTTTTTTAATAAAATGTATTTTTCAAAAAAAAATTGTAAAAAAATATTTTAATTTTTTATAATTTTTTGTTCTAATTATAATTTCTTGATTAAAAAAATTGTAATTGTCAAAAAATTCGATAATCTATAATAATTAATATCAAATTTCAATATTATATTTACATAAAAAAATAATTTTTAATATATATTAAAATTTAAATATTTTTAAATTTAAGAGACTAAACTGTTTATTGCTAATTATATCAAATTCTGTTATTTATGCTAACTGCTTGTTTGAATTCAACAATATTTAATCATTGTGTAACATTTGCCTTGACTTATACCGTAAGAAAATCCAACTTGACAAATTAAGCGTAAATTATCGCCATGCAATGCAATCTAATAGAGCGAGCTAGCAGTGACACGCACGACACTTAATATCAACCAAATAAAATGTGAATTTTTTAATCTACAAAGGTAATACAAGGTGTGAAAGTAACATATCAAGAGAGATTGAGATTGAGATTGAGATGAGATCCTGTTTGTATTAGGTAAATATTGAAATCTGTAGAAGTGAAAATATATCACTAATTAATATTCAATGTATCTCAATTTTTGTGCACAACAAATAATAGCCATCCATCGTTCAGAAAAAGCCGATTGCATGTTACTAAAGATGTTAACAATCAGGCCATGGATGAATGTGCGACAAGGTCAGCACTGAACAAACACGTTTGTTTCAACCAAATGAAATTTTCATAGAACGATGATGCGGTCAAGTACTATAATGCAGGAGAAAACACCAGGGAGACAAAGCTGAAACAAGCAAGGAGCAAACAATGTTACGAGAATGGTGTGAAAACAATAATACAATGCCCACTGCAAATATTCCAAAAACAACAGATAACAGGGCGATTTCAAGGAGTACGTTTGTCTTCAAAAGTTTTTTTTTTTCAAAAAAGATAAGTATCTCTTTCGTAGAACATGTGCTAAAAAGGTTAATACGATGCAAAAACGTTCATGAACGAAGGAAAAAAAAACCGAATATGAAGAAAAGTTTCCCCGATAACAATTAATTAAATTCAAATAATTTATTCCTTTTATATATATATGATTAGTTTGTCCTTTTAAGTTTAAAAAATAACATCGAACATAGAAAATGTTACTCAAGAAATAAAATTTTAAATAATATATATTGTTTTTTAATTAAAGAAACGTTTAATGATGATCAATTGACTGTGCGGGCCTTTGATCTTTGGAAAGAGACTTTGTTTGGGATCAACGAGAAAGACCAAAAACTAGGAATATATAATTACATTTATGTTCGCTTACATTAGAACTTGTTTATTATACCGACGTTTTGCTTATATTAGACACATGATAACTTTTTGGCAAATATATCAAATTATTGAAGTAACAAAAAATTTATCGTTTATAGGAATTAACGTTAAATATCAAATCATAAAAATAATAGTAGAGTTATTAAAAACAGAGTATAAACAGAACAAAAATTAAATATATGTAAAATTGTAAAAGTTGAATTAAAAATACTGAAATTAAAATTGATAAATAAGTAGAAGCTGAGAATCTAAAACGTGGAATAATAATCAAAATAATTGTAGAATGTAAATGTTTTAATTATTGAAAGTAGGTCTAAAAACAATTGACATGTATGGTGAGTTCAGAATTGTTTATCTTTTTCTCTTTACATAAAAATATATGTATAATTCAAAATATAGTTTCATATAATGGTCAGATTTTCTAAAATACCCAATCCTAATTTCTTGGTTAATTAGTTCTAAAATCAATTTAGCTTCCTAATTCCTTAGATAAAACAAAAAACGTTTAACATTAAGATTTAAACTTAATTGACCACATCATCATGCATTTCTATTTCTAGATAATTTGTAACAAACAAATTGATTCAGTCTAAGAAAGTTTACAGTTTTTCAGCTATGAGTTCTTTTTCATCAACCTCGTTCACGTAAAACAGAGAGACATTACGTCAAAATCAAAATGTTAGATTAAAGTTTGTATCTTGAGTTATATTCAATGCTTAATTCATTACAAAGGATAAAAGAATAAGTTCATCTTTACTCAACTCCAAGATATTTAGCTAGACATAGTGAAAATAAATAAACTAAAACTAAAATATATTGCAAAAAATGAAATCATATTCACAGAAAGAGCTTACAACAAATAAGTAAAATGAAGCAAAATGAAGGAAGCTACTGTTCTATTACAGAAAATAGAGAAAAAAGGAATATAACTCAAGTTTCCATGAGAATCCTCTAAAAAGCATGTAAGAAAACTGCTCCAACTACCATTTCTACGTAAACTGTACAAAAACATAAATTTTTGCACTTCCAGACTGTAATAAAAATGAAAAATAAAAGGTGTTGGCTTTTTAGAAAATTTTGCTTTTATATGTTCTGTCAGCTTTTTGTCCCTACAATCAGAAGTTTATGTCTTCACAATTGTGTTATGTAGTGATTCAACTATTCTCTTCAATTTCAATTGTCATTTTTTTTCTAATCTTTTCAAAATTCAAATGTCAACAATCAATATATGAATGATTTATTAATTTTTTAGTAATTACAACATTCCATTAAAATTTTTAATTAATTGTATTATCTTATAATTTTAATTCAATGAAATATGCCACAAACTTTTAATTTTCTACATGAGTCAATGACTCATCAACACACTCTTTTAAATATATTTTTATGATTACCTCATTTTTTAAAATTAAATATTCACTTTATAAATTAATTTTTAAAAAGTGTTATAAATTTTTTAAAAATAAATTAATTTTAAAAAAGTGTTTAGAAGAATATACTAACGTTCCTCATTGTATAAAATACTTTGTAAGAGGCTAATTTTCTTAATTAGATATACTTTAGAGTATATATATATATATATATATATATATATATATATATATATATATGTTTTCCCACGCAAAAGCCATTGTAATTTTTCTTTAAAATGTTGTGTTTGTTCAAGGGAATATTAGACTAGAATATTTGACTAAATAGAGTTATATGCCCGCTGCTTTCTTTAATTAAAGTTTCAAATTTGAATTTTGTAAATAAAATTTTTTTCTATCCTTAAATAAATATATCAGACTTTCAAAAATGAAAAATTTCAGAAAAATAAAATTCCAAAGGCTTGGAAAAATCGTGGAACATGAAAGGGTAAAGAAAAAAATCCTTGTCGGAGAGAGAAGGAGAGGAGGGGGTAGGTTATGGAGTGAGATGGCTATATTTCTTTCTAAAATGTTATCATGATTAACTCCACTAGCTACTTCTAAGCAGTTAAGCTATTTTGGGGTACTATCAGGTTAAGAGATACACAATGAATCAGAAAATTTCTTAAAGCGCAATTTGTTTATCCAAAGCTGACACCATGATTAAGAATGCTTTTATTAGTTTATGCCAAAATGATGACACAGTGAATATATATAATTGTCGCAAACTGTCCTCATGGACAATGCGGTCTCAATTGAAGCCTCTGGTAAGTTCCCATATAAATGGTAGCATCCTAACTCGATTCCTTGATTCAGTGCTATCTATTTTGCATTTGCTGAAGAGAGCGAAGGGTTTATATATATAAATTTGGATAATTTAAATCACTTAATATCATCGTATATTAACATTATTTTATTATATATATATATATATATTTATATCTTACCTTATCATTTGCTTTTAGAAAATTAGATAAATATCTTTTACGAAGGTTATTAAAATATATTGAGCGTTTTAATAATTGAAAATATAAAAAAAGTTGTTTTTAAATTTATTTTGAAGAAGAATTCCATTTATTTAAAATTTTAATATTAAGAGTTTTAAATTTAAATTTTCACTTTAATAATTGTTTTAATTCTTCAATTAGTGTATTAAAATAATAAACGATTGTTAAAGCTAAAACTTAAATTCACCATTTTGCAATATTGGAATTAGATCCGGTGTACTGCTAAAAACCGTAATTGCTCAGTTGTAAGGTTAAAGAAAATAAAGTGTTAAATGATAATGGGAATGATTTGTTAAACTAGCAAAAAGTGAGGAGTGGGTGACAGCGGGAGGAGGAGTGGGGGTATTGTCATTTGTCAACCTGTCATGCATTTCATAGCAGTCAAGCACTATTCCTGCATTTAAAAACAAAAAAATTAAATAAATAAAGCACCGTTGAGTGTCGTGTTTCATTAGAAAAAAGGCCTACCAACATATTAAAATATATAAATGTATAAGATTTTTAAAATTTAAAGTGATAATTAATAAATTAAAAATAAAAATTACATATTTTTATACTTTTTTATTAAATAAAAGAAATAAAAAGAGAAAAGAAATAAATGTAAGACAATATAAACACTATATCTCAAAACAAGATCCTGCTCCACCTTCACTTGCGGATTCAATGTTTATGGCTATCCATCTCTACGCGACATAAACCAGGAAATGAAAAGAATTTATAGCCACAATAAATAAAAAAGATTTTGCCATTATTTTCAAAGTAAACATCTATGCACAATAGGTCTTATAATCACAAACCCCAGTAGCAGTTGACAATTCCCATTTTCTTGTGCCTATACACAAAAGATTACACAGCATTTACAAGAATACAAGTAATGTGGCACTAGGGATTTTGTTGGTAAATCATTCTTTTGATTTGGTTGTTGAGGAGGCTCAAGTAATGTTACATACTAGCTAACACCAAGAACCTAAATTCAAGCCCATGGTCTTTCCTAACGAGACTGGATCCTCCCATCAAATTTTAATAGGATAAAATCATGTTCAAATCTTGTATTTATCTCTTTTTTTTATATATAAACAATTAATAAGGTGGAACTTATTTAATATTTATATAGAGATAAACACAAAATTTGAACTTGAAATTAACGATGAGAAGATTTATTCCCATTTTGTCGCATGCAGATTTGATAGCTTACTCTCTTTTTTAAGGACAACTCACTTCACCAAATGTAGTCCATCCTGATGCCCTTTTCTCTCTACTCCTATAGTTTGCGATGCAGTTGACTCAATCTCGCTGAAACAATTAAAACCAAAATCATGAATACCAAAGTCTTGGCACTCCAACAACCAAGAACAATTGTCCTCCCATATTGGCAATCCCATTCCATTATTTGTATTATATGATTCAGGTGCAGTGTCCCATAATATGTCCATCAGAGGAGTTTCATCCTGCCACAGACTGTTCATTAGAGATTCATCGCTGCAAATGCTATCCAGCAAAAGGGATTCTTCCCCTGAAGAATTTTCAGTGCTTGAATTGACTTCTGAATTGAGAACCCCATCATTTTCCTTAACCTGATGGATGCTATCAACTTGTGACAAATGCTCTGATGTGCCTTGTTTGTTAACGGGTTCATGAGTAACAGGATCAATACCCATCTTAAGGAGTTTTTTCTTGACGTGGGTGTTCCAGTGATTTTTAATCTCGTTGTCTGTCCTTCCAGGCAACCTAGCAGCAATCTTGGACCACCTGAGACACAGCATCTACACCAATCAGTCATGTGTCAAACAAAACTCATGACCGTTTGCGTAAGTTAAGTCGCAGCAACATTTACGAATAAGCTTGATGTGAAGGTCTTTCTTGTTCGCAAAGATAGAATATCAAAAAAAGCATATAGATGTCTTAAAGTAAGATCCTAATTGAATTAGTGCTATTTATCTTACAAGTCTAACTAATGAGAATATGTCATTATTCTTCACCCAACGATCACCTCCAATTTATAAACTCTTTCATTGTACAAAAAATAAACCAATTAAATAATTTTTCAAGCTATATAATTAGGTAAACATGTCCAATTGACCATATATTTATACGGTTGTTGCTTAAAATATGATTTCAAATGTACGACTTTCTTCAACATTGTATGTGGTTTACACAAGTAACTCACGGCAAATATAGAGTTCCAACGTTGTTTAATGGTGAAGCCAAACTAAAGAACATGGTTGATTGATGAACAAGCTTTAAATTAACACATGGCAATGCATGAAGCAGAGGTAGTGAAAAATGAAATACCTGTTGCCAAGACGGGCATGGAGATCAATAACAAGCTGTTCTTCAGCCTCTGTGAGGAGCCCTCTCTTCAAGTCAGGGCGAAGATAATTAGTCCAACGAAGACGACAACTTTTACCACAGCGGCGAAGGCCAGCAAGCTTGGGCACCGCACGCCAACAACACTGGCCATTGGTGAGAATGAAGTTGATGAGTTTCTTGTCTTCCTCAGCAGTCCATGGACCTTTCTTCACCCCAAGTTTGTCACAGCAAGGTTGCCTCCCCATGGCACTAACACCACCCCACTAGCTAGCTAAAGCTAACCAATACAAAGCTTCAAATTAACCAATGCAAAAGTCTCACCAACACTAGCTTGTGATGACCCAAAAGTCCCTCACCCACCTTTATATAATAAAGCCCACTCCTTTTCGTGCCTAATTTTTATATGAAATAAAAATGTGCATCCCAAACAAAACTCAAATAGGAGGCACAGAAAAACTGAGGGGGAGGATGGGGACCCACCAATGGGTTGTGAAAGGTATGTGGGAACTAATATGGTGTGTTCCGGTGTTTCTCCTGCATAAAATGGGTGACGCTGAAAGATTGGTGACCAAAGGCAGAGCTACATGTAAGCATCCTAAAGGGAAAAAACAATGTGTAAAATGATTAATCTTTTTCAATTTTCCTTTACAAATCCACTGCCCTGATTGCACTCTTACTCCACCATTTCGTCATCACCACGTTTACGTGTCCTTATTAGAGGTAGATTATGATAGAGTGTACATGAATGTTAGAAGTGATGAAACTACTGCTATTAGATTTGCTCCAAGGAGATTAATCTAACGCCTTAAAATCATTGATCAATTATGGTGTGTGTGGAACAAGTAACTAGCTGAGCTATGTTTGAAAACGTTAATTTTCTTTTTATCTATTTGACATTCTTGTAATTAAGGAATGGACAATAATCCCTTGTGATTTGGGGGCCACAATTTTGTTTTTCTTATACTTTTACCAAATTACAAGAAATGATTCCCACTCTCCTTTATCCTGACGCTGGCTCTCTAGCCTCTCATCAATGCATAATGTGTAAAATTACGGAGACAATCAGACAAACGAATATGCCTAATATTTAGAAACCATACCACAAGTCACGACTTGAGTATATTTGGAAGAACGACCAAAGGATTAAAAACAAATGGTTGAGGTTAATTTCACTTGTCAGCTACAAGAAAAACGAGATCAGGTTTCGTAAAAGGAGTCGCTATAGATGCCCCAGAGAGAAAGCGATGCGTTTACACACTGTTCAATGGCAGCACTGTGCTGATTGAAGCAAAGTGCCAGCATATTTACATACATATATTTACGGGTAAAGTCTTCTATGGGTCAATTTCTTTATCTTCACGGGCCAACGCATTCACCCTATAATTGTACTGTAAATGATAATCTTCGTATTCTACATGTTTACTAACATTTCAAAATATCGAGATAACCCGTTGCTAGAGTTTCTGGTGTATTAGAACTCACTCTCTTTCAAATAATGGTATTCCCTTGCCTATTTTTACGTATCAATTTTGGATCTTCTACTGCAGCATTTTTGGTCTAGTAACATCCATGTAACTAGACCAAATATTGAGAGAGAATGGAGTGTAAGGTCAGGATTTTAGCCGTAAAAGGAAAATGTTGAAGAGGCATGACAGGATTTAAGCTCGTTGCAAGACATATACATGCAACCCAAAACAATATGTGGGAATTTGGGAGAAAAAATTATATTTATTATTAAGAAACATATTGTTCAATGTCTTTTAGAGTATGACAACTTTTTATTCCAGTTAAAAATTTCAATTTATTTCAAATATCTTTTTTATCTTATAAGAATAATTAATAATTAAATAAACTTATACCTTTTTTGAAGTTAAAAATATTAGTATTTGGTAATCCGATAAAAGGAGATAGAATAGTTTTTTATTTTGTTTTTCTTATTTAAACCCTTTTAATTGAACTAAAACGTTTGACTTTTTTTCCTTGCTTTATATCAAGTCCTGTTTTAGTTTTAAAATACATTAAACATAACAACACATTTATATGTTATATTTCTGCCTATCTTTACCCCCTTTTAAACAACTCATTTGAAATCAAGATAACTTTCAGTACTTTGGGAAATGACACTTCCATTTTTCAAGCCACAGTATGAAGAAACTGTTTTTTTTTTTTTTTTGGGTCACCATATCTACACACCCAGCATCTGCGAGCTTAATTATGTCGTAGTAAACCAGTAAAAGACTAAACAGATGACGGTTTTTATTTGAAAAAAAATACAATTTCTTCGCAATATTCTAAAAGGAATGGGTTTCTCTAGCCTCGTCCAAGAAAGTCCTTCGGAAGCCCTGCTACAAACTACACTTAATATCTGAAGTAATTATTTATTTATCCAAACAAGACCGAAAAAGATATGCTAACTCAGCGGACAAACCACAAGCCTTTTCTTCCTCTGTTATATATGATATATGTCACTCTAGTTCGACCATTATCAGAAAGATGCGTGCATGTGGTACTAAAATTAAACCACAAACTTGGTTAAGTATCTTTGACCCGGACAAGATATATATGAACTTGTTAATACTGACACGAACCATAAAGCAGGTTGTTTCGTCCACATATTCCTAGGTAGTTGATTCTAGATTACTCCATTCTCGGATCATGTTGATATGTGACTGTAACATTGGTTGAACTAAGCATTCGAATACGTTTTATCTTGGTATATCCACAGTTATATAGTGCCTTCTAACCTTTTACTTATAGATTAATGACATATCCCAAACAATTCATTTAGAAAGGGGAAAAAACAAAGCTACAAGATTGATAACAAAGCTAACACCTGACCTCGGGGATCTATATGCGACTCTTAAATATTATATTTATGATTTTATTTATTTTAATATTTAAGATTGATTTTAAGCATTTAAGAATACTACATTACTATTGAAAAAAAATTATTATATTAAAAATATAACAGTGTAATAATTATTTTTCAGATCGCGTCCGTTGCCAACATAGATTAATGTTTTGCTTTTGATTTGAATGTTTTCTGGTTTTTGCGGAAACGGCAAGAATTCTTTGCCCCATTTTGTAAAATGGAAATGTTAGAACGAGGGTGCCTATAAAAATGTTTCAAGTGTTAGCCAAATTATTATTATTATTATCGTATTTTATTTTTTTATTTTTTATTTTATTTTCTTTTAATGTTATAAAAAATTCATAAACAAATTTTTTTTTATATAAACAAATAAATATTAAAATATACGATTCCTCTGTTTATGATTTCCTTTTTAACCTCTTTCATTGGATTAAAAGTAATTTGAGTTACTCATATTCAATTTATTACAATAAAAGAAATCATTTGACATTATTGAAATAGCTATCAAATAGTAGGAAAGAAGAAATATATAAGAAAAAATATGATATATAATTTAATAAAAATAAATATAAAAATATAATCGTTGTACAAGATAATTAAATTAAAAAAGTTACTGTATTTTAGTCATTGGAAGCAAGCTACTCATCCGAAGTGCTACGTGTCCGAAACCGTATTCAAATACTGCGTTGACTTGCAACGTAAGAAAGATATTTGCTTGCACAAGTATCGGTGATTTTCAGTGAACCACATCCATACAACTTACCCGTAAGGAAGAAGGTAAATTAAAAGGACGGCAAAACTTCAGTCGATGATGATGATGGTGATGATACCTGCTAAGCAATATTCATACTTCCCACACGTAGAAGTTCCAGATTTCGAGTGGATAAGTACCCAGTTTTCTAGGATGAAAATTAATTTGTTGGATTAAATTATAAGAAATAATTATTGTACGTACATTCAGAACTTCTATTGCTACAGGAATTAATCTAATAATCAATTTAGCGCTGAATATGTAAGAACAGCTCATGCTTTAAAAAAAAATTGCTTAAATTTTAAGTCCTTGACGAATAATTTTAACGTAACTTTTAAAATTTTGTCACTTGTGTTCGAAAATTATTTAGGCTCAACTGTGCTTTTGATTTCTAAATTATTCTATTTGTTCGATTTTAGTTTTTAATTTTCAATTGTATAATTTTAATTTGATATTTATTAATTTAACAGATTTTATTTTTATTAAATTATCATTCAATTTTTAACGGGAATCTTTTAATCTTTTTTTAAGTCGGTGTCTGCCGTTGTGAACAGAGCTTCGTCATTGCCCCTACTACATCCTCTCTCGTGCTAATGATGAAGAGCTTCTCCTACTACAGCAGAAAATAAACAAGTTTCAGTTAACTAGAAAAACTTATCTACGAGTATGGTATAATTCACAACATCATGATTAATACTTTGTCCACCATTTCTCTTGTTCTCCTAAAATCCTCCCCCAAAACCTCCTCTTCCACATAGCCATAAGCCCAAGCACTGTACAAAACAACATCCAAACCCAACCATTCCTTCTTCATCCATTCAACCAAATTACACATTTCGTCAACCTTTTCCAATTTACGAAGAGCACTTCAAGGGTCGCGCAAGTCATCACATTGAGCCATAATAAGCTAGATTAACCATCAACATTCTTGAAAAACCTCAAAGCAAGTTTCGATTTTCCAATTTTGTAAAACCCAAAAAATCATCGAAAGAGTACCATCCTTAGTCATCAACTTCAACACCTCAATGACCTTACCTACCAGACTCTCTGAGCCTACGTTGCATGGATACGGATACATACCGGTATCACAGGTACAAGTACGAATATGAAGATGCACTAATTTTTTAAAAATTAGGATATAGATATGTCTATATATAATATAAATAAATAAATAAATACAATTTAATATAAATATAATTAAATAATATAAAAATATGTAAGAATCTATTCAAAATGATATAATAAAGTGAATCACATTGTTCAATAAAATTTTTTTTAATAAAAATATAAATTTATAAACTATTCTACAATCAATAATAAAACGACTAAATATTTATACTCTAATAGTGTTAATTTCATTATTTTCTTTTCCATCATCAATAAAATGTATTATCTTTAAATCTAGTTCATCAAGAAAAAGAGTAATAACTTTAAGAAAACTAGCTCCTACAAATGGATTTTACTTATCACGGCCAATATCTCACATTTTAGTCTCACATTTATAATAATTTTTATTCTTTCTTAAGAGCAATTGAATATTTGTATATATAAAAACTAAATCTTCAACTCCCTTAGGGTTGAGCCTATTTCTTTTCATGGAATGAATAAAAGAATAGGTACTTCTATTTCACTCACAACAAGAAGAAGAGGATGGTTGTGAAAGAACTTTTAAGGCAATGGTTTGAAGCTTA